ATAGACAGTTGAAACAACGCGAAAAATTAGCCAAAGTCCGACCAATGTCATGTACCCAGAACAAAAGTAGTGAAGTAAAATATGGTGAAGTATCGAAAAGAAAAATTAAACTTTTAAATTTGGTTTAGCTAAATAAATTTGAAAAATAAAATCAAATCAATTCGGCATAAAACGTGAGTTTTAGATATATCAACAGTGTAATTTTTGCAGTACTACAGTCATAGGGCAATTGATAGTGGTCCAAATCGTACTCGGTTTTTATGGCACTGCAATAACAATTACCGCAAGCAGTTGGTCTGTTGATGGTTTATGACCGCTGGATCACTTGCGGCACGACCCCATTGTGAAGGGATTTAACTCATACACAATAGGGTGCAGTCGTAAAAACGGAATACGATTTGGACAAGAATACCTATGTATTCTACATAAAATTTTATATATAGTTACATAGGTTATTTGCTGAAATTCGAAAATGTTGACACATATTTTTCAAGAAAATCAAAACGGACACCGATGTCTGCTTTGACTCTTCATTATATTGTATACAGTTTTTACATAGCTGGGCCACAGCGGTCTAATAGAGCAGGAAAAGGTTACTATATATATTTAGTAATTATTCCCTAGGCCCTGAAGTACAATTATAGTAATCCAGTTGTTTAGAATGCAAATTAATATTTTATGGAGTATTGATATTATTCTTACCTATTTCAATTATTTTTTATTATTATTATATTAAAAAAAATAATCCATTTTAAATTATTGATATCCGATCAATTTAAACTAATACACTGTTTTGATTTTAACATAATAAAATATTTACAGGTAAAGGTAGAGGTCAACCTTGTAAATCATTTATTGCCATAGTGGATGTAACATATTAAAACCAAAACAATTTCTATAATTGAAACTAATTGACAACAAATAGTTTCAAATGCCTTCTAAAGTAATACTCCTATTTGATTTTAACTATATTTTGAGCTTTACGAATGACATTTGATTTTTATTTTTGTTAATTTCCATTACCATACTAATGAAAAAAATGCAAATTCAGTCACTGTTGATTTTCTTACATACAAAAAATTATTTTCATATCGAGTTGTAAGTCTTCTTGACAGTTTCTGAAGTAGAGTGTTTTTTGTCCTGATTAGTTGTGTTACTATAAAACGTTCCATTTTGAAAACAATAAATCCTAATTTATAAAAAACAAGATTAACTAAATTATTAATTATATTGTTAAATTTTAGGACAGCTAGTTTCTTACCTGTAATAATCCAAAAGCTGTTCTCCTTGGTTGAAGTTTAACACAAATTAAAACATTTGATTCGTTCATTCAGTGCAAAGTAAATAATCTTCTAAAACTTTGATGAAAGATCTTTTTTTGCCTCAAAACGAATATTATTTAAAGATGGTATTAAAACTTATTTTAGTCTCTTGGAAAGTTTTCCTTATTTATTCAATTAAAAGCGTATTAAATTTTAGGCAGATATCTAATTAGAAACAATATCCCACGTGTTCTCTATTTATAAAGCCGGCGGCACGTAGAAAATTGCTCTTTTAAAAATAACATGCCGGGCAAGAATTCCGTTTTCCGTTAAAGAAGATTGACATTAAAGCCCCAGAATAAACAGAGCATATTTCAAGCCTTTGACAAATTGGAAGATTTCGAGTTATTTGAAAGCTCCCACGGCTACCGAACTTACGGTAAAACTCCCTCCAAGTAAAGACGACATTTAGTACGCAGAACAGCAAAATAAACAAGATCTTTGGTCAGCTTCCAGCAGCAGGTACGCACTTCCCAGCAAATTCGGTAGCACAGTGCCCGCTTTCGAATATTTATTTATATGGTCCAATAAAACGTGAAAGTTTTACGGCGGTTGTCCACAAACCCTCGTTCGGCGGTAGCAGAGATTCGTTTTATGTTTTTACCTCATCCCCTCTAAAATTATACGATACATACAAATACAGGCCGCCGCCAGATATGAATTTCCCCAAATACCGTTGCGAGGGGTCATAAACCGTACCACTTTTGTCCTTCTGGTCGACCACTTGACCGCCAAATACGGGAGCCGGCGTTTTATCATCCCCCGCCGCCGTCAGGGGCAGCGGCGGCTCGTCGATTAAAACTTTTGTCTGGTGTGAAACAACATTTTTGTCCAGAGTTTTTCGATTTTAGCATTGAACTTTGCATAAAACACTCAACATGTTAGTGTAGGCGATACAAATGTTCTATGTTTAAGTTTTAAACAAGTGTTTTAAAAAATTCGAGTGAATTAGATGAAGACATTAATTGTACCACTCAACAAAAAATGGTCTGTCATAAAGTCTTTGTTCCTTTACAAGTTGGTAAAACCGTATTTGTATAGAGTAGAGTGATAGATGACGGAAGATATGTCACTTTAGCTTTGCTGTCTTTTTTGACTACTGGTTTACCACAGCTGCTTTCAGAATAATTTGTTTTTTTTTGTTCCAGAAAAATATTAGTTTGTCTAATGTCACATGTCATTGCATACGGAAGAAATTTGACGACAGGAAATCTATAAAATAAGCTTTACTGAAAAACTTGTAGCATTTTCAGTTTAAGTGAATACAAGAGAATCCTCATTTCTTTTACCTTCTGCATAAACTTTTTAAAACAGTATTATTATCTAGTAAATTCAGATTTGAAATCCTTTGGAAATACTTAATAGCTGCGATCATATGTGTGCATACAGGGAGATCAATAATTCACGAGTAAGCTCGATGATACGGTGTTGAGAAACTTCGTAATTGTGATGTGATTTAATCTGAATTTAATTGAAAATCTATAATTCCGACAAAAATAGTTTAAAATTGCATCGAACAGAGGTAAAAATAAATTCGTGGCTCGTATTCAAGCAAATTATTTATTTATATTTGCGTATTAAGACAGATTAGAATTAGGTTATAGGTATATGCCATAGATTTAAAAATATTGCCTCCGAATTCTCTTTTTACTGGCTATATGCGTTTAAAATATATTTTTTGAAAACAATTACACAATAGTGAGGAATTATGAAAACGAAAAAGTTAAAGACTGCTCAACTAATCGAACGAAGATGATCTACAATGCTTTATTTGTAGTCAAAGTTAATATCTATTGTTGGTGGCTTTATGAGAGAAAGATGCACCACCATATTTTTTAAGATTCGCAATATACAACCCATAATAATTAAATTAAATTTAGTATCTTCGCTTCCTCGAATTCAAAAATTAACGTTAAAGATATCATTAAAAGCAATGTGTCAACGATTATGTTTAAGAAACCTAATTAAATGATTAAAACATGTATTTGTCCCAGTATACACTCACACTTTAAATCAAACATAATATTTTTTATTTGTTGAATAAATTTTCGTAGAAATTCACCACATTTGAGGGATCAGCCGTATTTGTATCGTTGAAACAACATCACCAAAACTTTGTAGTTATTGATATCACAAGAAAAATATTTTGCACAAATTGAATCTCTTCGAAAAACATTACGTCAATTAATTATTCATACTTTAAGTGATTTTAAAACGAGTTTAAATAACAACAACAAAATAATTTTTATCGTAACATTTAAATTATATAAATAATGATACGCTCATATTATTATTATTAAAACCGTCTTTGTTACCCAAAATCACAACGAATTCTGTTTGTACAATTTTAAGTTTTAAAAATTCAATGACCTGAGTGGAAAGAAACCCGTTTGATTTAGAAATTACTAAAATAAAAATGATCATAATTTGCACAAAAGATAAAATTTTGATGACAAAGACATTCCTCGTAAGGTCATCCAAACAGATAAGATATAACAAACACATAAGAGACGAATCAGCCGGCTGTACTATTCAGTACCTTCGTACCAATACCACATTTAATTCTAACAATATGCAGCATCTTCTAAAAGTTTTATACGTTTTTGCCATTCTGGCAACCTTCAAGTGCGAAGATGACGAGAAATCCTTCGGAGGCTACGATTCAAAGAATTTCCACTTTCTGGTGCGTCACCACACATCATACACTCTACAAATGTACAACATCCCAATTTTAAAAGAAGGTGCTATTTCCGACATTCCGGATATGGAAATTCTTAAGCTGGACGAAGTCCATATACAAAAAATAGAACCAGGTGCGTTCCAAAACTTGCCGAAGCTGCAATCAATGTCAATACGACTAAACAATCTGTCAAGAATTGAAGCTGGTGTTTTTAACAACTTGAACATTTCGTGGTTGGAGATATCGCTAAATAAAAGTCCGCTAACTATAGATGCTGATGCTTTTGACAACATGACAAATTTGTACACTCTTATTTTGTGTAGAATCAAGTTGACTACTTGGAATCCGCACTGGTTTTTTAATACACCAAATTTAAATTCGGTTCTTGTCTACCAAAACTTGTTAGAAGAGATTCCAGAAGACGCATTTCAAAATCTGAATAGCAAGAATGTACTGAAACTAAACTTATGCCAGAATCGAATAAAGAAAGTACACGATAATGCGTTCCGGGGAGTGAAGAAGATAAGTTTGTTGTCGTTGCAAGATAATAAACTTGAAGAGTTTAATGGGAACATTTTGAAGAACATCAGTATTTTGGAATTTAGGATTAGCGAGAATAAATTTCAGTGTTTAAATGAATCAGACTTTGCTGGTATTTTTGTTGCTGATCAAACGGCAATTGGAGACAATCCGTGGAAACCAGAGTGTTTACAGAAAATTTTGAAGTGGGGCAATAAGAACAGAAAAACAATACAGAACGTGCAATATATTTACGTTCTCTAATAGATGGAAATTAAATCTGTTTTCACTTAAACAAATGTGAAGAATGAAAATTTACAAATTTTAGTAAGTAGGTACGTTTATATGTTTGTTACTTGAGGAATAATTTTTAATATTAAATCAGTACGTCAGATTTGATGTCTTTTTACGTCCTATGTAATTTTTTCGATGTTATTAAATAAAAATAACAAACACGAAATCAGTTATTCATTCTTTAAGCGACTTTAAAATAAATTTGAATCCATAAATCAACATCCGCTCGGGCAGTTTTCAAAAATATTGTGACCTGAGATCGATGCTTACTCACTACACTTCCCCGTAAACAGAAGACAAGTCTATTTAAAAATAACAAAAATAATCGTAATTCCTGTAACAGATAAATATTCATTACAAAAAAAATGTATGTAAGGTCACCACAACAGATAAAATTTTAATAAACACATAAACACAGACTAATAGTCCGCATTTGTTTGGTACTTTGCTGAAAATAACTTACTTAATGTTGACAAAAATGCAGTGCCTTGTAAAAGTTATATACATCTATGCTATACTGGAATCTTTAAAATGTGAAGATCATGTGAGGTATTTTGAAGATTATCAGTCAAACAATTTCTTTTTCCGAGTGTACAAAAAAACATCGTTCACTTTGGACTATGGAAGCGTCCCTATTTTAGGTGAGGCTTCTATTTCCGACATCCCTAACATGGAAGAACTTATGTTGTACGATATCAAACTGCAAAAAATCCAACCAGGTGCGTTCCAGGACTTACCTATGCTGAAATCATTAAAAATAATTAAAACCAATATCTCAAAAATTGACGTTGGCGTTTTTAACAACTTGAATATCACCTCCTTGACTATATTGGAAAATAAAATGCCACTAACTATAGCTGCTGATGCTTTTGACAACATGACCAGTTTGCAGAAAATTCGTCTAGATCAAATCCAATTGACACTGTGGAATCCACAATGGTTTGCCAACACCCCACAATTGAAAGAAATTTATGCATGCGACAATCTGTTACAAAAGATACCGAGAGATGCGTTCAAGAATCTAAATGGCGATAATGAAATAACTATATATTTTTATCGTAATCGAATAAAGAAAATACATAATGACGCGTTTCATGGAATCAGGAAGATGAAAATATTGTCATTAGCAGATAACAAACTCGAGGAATTTAATGGTCACAGTTTGAAAAACGTTAAGATTGAAGAATTAAGGATTAGTGAGAACAACCTTCAGTGTTTAGAGGAGTCAGACTTCGCTGGTATTTTTGTTGCTGATAAAACAGCTATTGGGGGTAATCCGTGGAGACAAGAATGCTTAGATAAAATTTTAGAGTGGGGAGTGTCTCATAATAAAACAATAAAAACAATAAATTATTTTCCTACTCCATTACTTTAGATGTGCAATAAATTTTGTTTTGTATTTTGTGAAATAATGAAGATATAAATAATTAATATACAGCGTTTATTTACACTGTCCCTTTTACTTTGTTGACAAAGAAAAAAGATGGTACAAGCTTAAATGGTATTATCAAATTTTCATCATATAGATATATATTAACATAAGATCTATTTTTTTAAAAATGTGGAACTAAAAATTTTTTCTTCTTGGCAAATATTTTTCTCTTCAATTTTCCCCGTCTTTTTCACTACAACCAATCTGAATGTTAACTAAATTCATTGGTTTATGGTAATCCAGAACTCAGATCAAGATTCTTCTATCCTGTTCGATTTACAAACTAAATTTCGCTCTAACTGTATAACAGATGCTGGAATTCTAAATTTTTAGCAGTATCGAATAAAAAAAAGCCTACCCAGGAATTAAGAAAATAAAATCTCATTGCTAAATAGTGAATGTGAAGACTTAAATGGACACATGGTGAAGAATTGAGGAATATGGAGTGAAAATCAGATTTTTTCAATTCCTTCTGTCCTCTCTACCCCTTATGTTCATTATGTTGGTTATGTTCCCTCAACTCTATCTGCTACCTTTGCTATCGCTGGCCCTCCCTATTCTTTCCCCTCTCTCTGATCTCTTCGCTCTCTCCGTTCTACCTTCTCTCTCTGTACGTTGTGCTCTTTCTAGTCCCCCTACTCGTTATGTTTCTTTTATTGCCTCTATGTCTTCTGTTTCTTCGGTTTTCTCTGTTCTTTCTGCTGTCTTTGTTATACCTGCTCTCATTGCTTTCTCTATCTTCCCGTGCTCTCTGCTCTCTCTTTTATATGTGTTCGCTCTGTTCCGTCTGTTCTCTCTGATCTAGAAAACTACATTCAAAAAATATTTTATTTTGGAAAAATTCGTACTCTCTGTTCACTAAGTTTCTTGTGGTACCTCTTTGCGTTCTGTTTCTTTTCTTCTCTTCTCTTCTCTATAGTCCCTCTCTTTCCGATATGTTCCCTATATTCTGTTTATTCATTCCTTTTGTTCTTTTTGTTATTTCCGTTGCCTCTGTTTCTTCTGTTTTCTGTTTAAACTTTCACTACTTCCTCTTTTCTCCTTGTTTTCTCTGAGCTTTCTGTTCCCTCTGATCTCTCAATTCCACGTTTCGTTTGTAACCTCGTTCTCTCTGCTTTCTTTTCATCCTCTGATCACTTTGTTCTCACTGTTATCTAGGTTCTGTCCACTCTTTTTGTTCTTCCTGTTCTCGTTATTCTCTTTGTTGTCTCTGTTTCCCCCGCTCTCTCTTTTCTCTCTTTCGCGATTAAAAAAAGATGACAACATCAGAGAATATTTTATATTTTCGCCACTAATAATAATAACATTAACGAATTTTCTCGAAATTGCAAAAAATAAACATGTTATCAGTTAATTTTACATTGTATAAACGATTCTAAAATAAACTTGAACAACAACAAATAAAGATCGCAATTATGTTAATATCAATAGAATTCGTTTTAAGGAAGAACTAAAAATATAACTCGTACAAGAGATAACATTTTTATTACGAAAACTGTATTTAAGGTCACCATAGCAGATAAGATTTTAGTAAACACATAAAATATGCACCAAGCATCTGCATCGTTTAGTGTTTTCGTGACAATACATACACTTAATGCTGACAAAAAATGCATCGTCTTGTAAAAGTCATATACATTTTTGCCTTTCTGGCATCTTTCGAGTGTGAGGACGACGAGAAGTACTTCAGTGGCTACACCTCAAAGCATTTCTTTTTCGTGGTGCATCGTCAAAAACACTTCAGTCTGGACCACGTAAACGTGTCTACTATCGGTGAAGGCACTATTTCTGACATCCCTAGCATGGAAAGTCTTATGATGTACGGTCTCCATATAAAGAAAATCGAACCAGGTGCATTCCAGAACTTGCCCCTGCTCAAATCATTAACAGTTATGGAATGCTACATATCAAGAATTGATGTAGGAGTTTTTAATAATTTAAACATCACCGAACTGACTATAAAAGAAAATAATAGACCATTAAGTATAGCTGCTGGGGCTTTTGACAACATGGCAAGTTTGCAACAAATTCGTCTAGATCGAGTTCAACTGTCTACATGGAATCCACAATGGTTTGTCAACACCCCACAATTAAAAGAAATTTATGCATGTTACAATCAGTTACGAGAGATACCAGAAAATGCGTTTCAAAATGTGAATACTGACAATGAAATGACTATAAATTTTGCTATTGGTCAAATCAGAAAAATACATGACGATGCTTTCCGAGGAATCAGGAAGATAAAATTGTTGTCATTGCAACAAACTTAAAGAGTTTAGTGGACACATTTTGAAAAACATCGAAATTGGGGAATTAAGGATCAGTAATAATAATATCGAGTGTTTAAATGAATCAGATTTCGCAAATATTTTTGTTGCTAATAAAACAGCTGTCGGGGGTAACCCGTGGAGACCAAGCTGCTTGGAGAAAATTTTAGAGTGGGGAATATCTCACAACAAAACAATAAAGAATATTGATTTGTTTCGTCCTATATCCTACAATTAGATCTAGTTTGAAATGTGTTTTTATCTTGATACTACTATCGAAAAAATAAAAAATAAATAAAATAGATCCTTTGATTTTACAGAGTACATTTTATTTTGTTGACTGAGGAGAATGCCACGGTATAAAAATTCTAAAGAGAATTTTTGTTGATTTTTCGAATTTTGAGTTTATTTGGTTAGAAGCAACTCTTACAACATTTAAGTCCATATCTGCAATTTCATGTGTAATTTTATAATTAATTTATTCAATTGTTGATGAGCAAGATTTATTTTATTCAAATTCCTATTATTTTTATATAGTTAGAAATGGAATCTTAAAAAGAAAATTAAAATGTCATATATATTTTTGACTATACCAGAAATTATTCTGCTCAGCAATAATATATTTCTACGCCCACGCATGAATATGTAAAAATACTTTCGAGTTAAGAACGACGTCTAAATGTTGATTGGGTAGATACTGGCACATTTGTAGTACAATAATAAAATTATGTAACCAGAACGTTTATTACAAATTTTATTGATCACTCGGTGCGTAAACATACTGTATAACGTTTATCACTATAACACCGAAAACATCCGTCTTGTCAACTAGGTACCTACAGGTAGTGATAACCGTTAAGATCTACCACAGTTTGTACCCTGACCCCCGCGCGCAAGTGACCAACACCCGGCAGAAAATAACTGAAAATATAATGAAGTAAGTTTAGTTTGATATCTTCAGGAGAACTTGTTGTTTAACAATGGTTTTTACACCCGCAATAGGATGATTTCATTCTGATAGCTCACTTTCGAAGTGAAACCCGTAAGTCAGACGGAACCTGGTCTTATTTGTTGCCATTAGGTGTAAACCAATTTCTGATTACTTTTCGAGATGCAAAAATTGCATAATTATCAAACATTTGCAAATTATAAGGGGATTCTTATTCGCTTTGATACTAAAAATGTTATTTGTAAAGGAAAGGCTACCAGCAGAAAAATGGTGTTGGCTGAAGAAGTTACAGAAGACATCCAACATCACTGAGAACAGAAAGTCCAACCAACTATATACGAACAATTGTTGTCACACATTTTATTTTGTGAAGGCTTTAAAGATTTTGATAAGAATTAAAGATATTGTATGACAATTTAAAAGTTGAAATTTGTGTAGCCATTGCAAGAAGAAAAATTATAGGCCCGATTTTTTTTCATGATACTGTAAATGCTGAAAGATATCGCACTAATATATAAAAACCCCTTTTTAAACAACTGTATTGACGAATCTCAGTATGGTGACTTTCAGCAAGATGGAATGACGACCAACACAGCAGGAGACACACTTCGTTTCCTGCAGGAAAACCATGATTACCGAATTCTAATTCAAAGACTGTGGCCCCAACAACCACCAGATCTCACGGCTCCAGGTTTTTTAGTCTGGTCATTTGAAGAATAATGTTTTCAAAAATACCTTGCATACCCTTGACGAGTTGCAACTAGCATTAACTCGTAAAATTGAAAATATAGCCCCTAATACCCTACATTTTTGATTACGTAGTTGTCCATCATTGATGAACACTCTGTATAATTCGTACCAAAGATAACATTTTTATTACGACGAAGTATTGTTGAGGTCACCATAAGAGATAAGATTTTAATAAACACACAAAACATGCACCAACCATCCACATCGTTTAGTACTTTGGTGACAATAGGATGTATTAATTCTGACAAAAAATGCAGCGTCTTGCAAGAGTTGTATACATTTTTGCCATTCTGGCATTTGTCGAGTGTGAATATGATACGAATTATTACACCTCAAAATATTTCCGATTCGTGGTACACCATCGAACACACTTCTTTTTGCAACCCACGGACGTAACCACTATTGGTAAGGGCACTATTTCCCACATCTATGACATGGAAAGTTTTATACTCTACGGACCCACAATACAAGAAATCGAACCAGGTGCATTCCAGAACTTGCCTCGGCTTAAATCATTATCAATTATGAATTGCTACATATCAAGAATTGACGCAGGAGTTTTTAATAATTTGAACGTCACCGAATTGGCTATAAAAGAAAATCGTAGGCCATTAAGTTTAGTTGGTGGCGCCTTCGACAACATGACAAGTTTGCAGAAACTTCGTCTGGATAGAATTCAACTGTCCACATGGGATCCACCATGGTTTGTCAATACTCCACAATTAAAAGAAATTTATGCATGTGGCAATCTTTTAACAGAGATACCAGGAGGCGCATTTCAAAATCGGAATAGCGATAATGAAATAACTATAAATTTTGCTGATGGTCAAATCAGCAAAGTGCATTACGATGCGTTCCGAGGAATCAAGAAGATGAAAGAGTTGTCATTGCAGCATAACAAACTTGAAGAGTTTAGTAGTCGTATTTTAAAAAATATCGAAATTGGGGAATTGAGGATCAGTAATAATAAATTCGAGTGTTTAAATGAATCAGAATTTGCAGATATTTTTGTTGCTAATAAGACAGCTATCGG